ATTTATTTAATCTAAAATAACAATTGAATTCTGATTCGACAAACTGCAAAATCTAAGATTCAAAACAAAGTGAAAACTAGCCCCACCCACCCACCCCTACTCCGTTTTGAAGACTCATTTTATTGGCTGTGAGTCAGAAGTTGCATTTTATTTCTACAAATAAGAGAATCTAGGACTACATTTTTTTAAATAAAATTTTAATATTTATTAAAAAAACGACTTTGCCGTCAACATTTGGAAAAAAATATTTGAAATTCATATAAAGTCGACAAAATGAGGTACAACTGTAAACACCGCCCCTCTTCTTCGAACCAATGAAATTATTTATTAAGGTGGAGTTTATTGCGAGTAGGAGGAGCATCAGTAATATTGCTTTTTAATGCAATTCTGATGCCTGACATAGGTTAACATCAGCTTAATATTTTCCACACAATTCATCTACTTTTTCAGTAACGGCTTAATAAATTCGCCCAAGAATCGAATAAGGTAAATACGTTGCTATTAATTAATAATATAAAGAGTGGTCACCAGAATCAAGAGTGTGGTGGGTGGGCGGGGCTGTTGCTTCCTTAAAGACTCTATAGAAAAGGTAAACTTAGCTCCGCCCACTTCCTTTCTCCATTTCACTCACTTAATAATTTATTTAATCTAAAATAAAAATTGAATTCTTATTTGACAAACTGCGGAATCTAAGATTCAAAACAAAGTAAGAACTAGCCCCACCCGCCCACCCCTACTCCGTTTTGATGACTTATTTTTATTGGCTCTGAGTCAGACATTGGATTTTATATCTACAAATAAGAGAATCTAGGACTACATTTTTTTTAAATAAAATTTTAATATTTGTTCAAAAAACGACTTTGCCGTCAGCATTTAGAAAAAAATATTTGAAAATCATATAAAGTCGACAACATGAGGTACAACTAACTGTAAACACCGCCCCTCTTCTTCGGACCAATGAAATGATTTATTAAGGTGGAGTTTAGTGCGAGTAGGAGAAGCACCAGTAATATTGCTTTATAATGCAATTCTGACGCCTGACATACTTTAATATCGGCTTAATATTTTCCACACAATTCATCTAGTTTTTCAGTAACGGTTTATTAAATTCGCCCAAGAATCTAAAAATATAATTACGTTGTCATTAATTAACAATATTAAGACGGGTCACCAGAACCAAGAGTGTGGTGGGTGGGCGGGGCTGTTGCTTCCTTAAAGACTCTATAGAAAAGGTAAACTTAGCTCCGACCACTTCCTTTCTCCGTTTCACAGACTTAATAATTTATTTAATCTAAAATAACAAATGAATTCTGATTTGACAAATTGCAGAATCTAAGATTCAAAACAAAATAAGAACTAGCCCCACCCACCCACCCCTACTCCGTTTTGAAGACTCATTTTATTGGCTGCGAGTCAGAAGTAGGATTTTTTTTTAATAAAATTTTAATATTAGTTCAAAAACAACTTTGCCGTCAGCATTTAGAAAAAAATATTTAAAAATCATATAAAGTCGACAACATGAGGTACAACTGTAAACACCGCCCCTCTTCTTCGGACCAATGAAATGATTTACTAAGGTGGAGTTTATTGCGAGTAGGAGGAGCATCAGTAATATTGCTTTTTAATGCAATTCTGACGCCTGGCAAACTTGAACATCAGCTTAATCTTTTCCACACAATTCATCTACTTTTTCAGTAACGGTTTAATAAATTCGCCCAAGAATCTAATATGATAATTACGTTGTCATTAATTAATAATTTTAAGAGTGGTCACCAGAATCAAGAGTGGGGTGGGTGGGCGGGGCTGTTGCTCCTTTAAAGACTATAGAAAAAGGTAAACTTAGCTCCGCCCATTTCTTTCTCCATTTCACTTACTTAATAATTTATTTAATCTAAAATAACAAATGAATTCTGATTTGACAAACTGCAAAATCCAAGATTCAAAACAACGTAAAAACTAGCCCCACCCACCCACCCCTACTCCGTTTTGATGAGTTATTGTATTGGTTCTGAGTCAGAAGTAGGATTTTATATCCACAAATAAGAGAGTATAGGACTACATTTTTTTTTATAAAATTTTAATATTTGTTCAAAAAAACGACTTTGCCGTCAGCATTTAGAAAAAAATATTTGAAAATCATATAAAGTCGACAACATGAGGTACAACTGTAAACACCGCCCCTCTTCTTCGGACCAATGAAATGTTTATTAACGTGGAGTTTGTTGCGAGTGGGAGGAGCATCAGTAATATTGCTTTTTAATGCAATTCTGACGCCTGACATAGTTTAACATCAGCTTAATGTTTTCCACACAATTCATCTACTTTTTCAGTAATTACGTTGTCATCAATTAATAACTTTAAGTGTGGTCACCAGAATCAAGAGTGGGGTCGGTGGGCGGGGCTGTTGTTTCCTTAAGGACTTTATAGAAAAATGTAAACTTAGCTCCGCCCACTTCCTTTCTCCATTTCACTCACTTAATAATTTATTTAATCTAAAATAACAATTGAATTCTGATTTGACAAATTGCAGAATCTAAGATTAAAAACAAGGCAAGAAGTAGCCCCACCCACCCACCCCTACCCCATTTTGAAGACTTATTTCATTGGCTTTGAGTCAGAAGTAGGATTTTATACCTACAAATAAAAGAATCTAAGACTATATTTTTTTTAAATAAAATTTTAAAATTTGTTCAAAAAACGACTTTGCCGTCAGCATTTAGAAAAAAATATTTGAAAATCATATAAAGTCAACAACATGAGGTATAACTGTAAACACCGCCCCTCTTCTTCGGACCAATGAAATGATTTATTAAGGTGGAGTTTACTGCGAGTAGGAGGAGCATCAGTAATATTGCTTTCTAAATGCAATTCTGACGCCTGACATACTTTGACATCAGCTTAATAACACAGTTCATCTACTTTTTCAGTAACGGTTTAATAAATTCGCCCAAGAATCTAATAAGATAATTACGTTGTCATTAATTAATAATTTTAAGAGTGGTCACCAGAATCAAGAGTGGGGTGGGTGGACGGGGCTGTTGTTTCCTTAAAGACTCTATAGAAAAAGGTAAACTTAGCTCCGCCCACTTCCTTTCTCCATTTCACTCACTTAATAATTTACTTAATCTAAAATAACAAATGAATTCTGATTTTTTGACAAGCTGCAGCATCAAAGATTCAAAACAAAGTAAGAACTAGCCCCACCCACCCACCCCTACTCCGTTTTGATGACTTGTTTTATTGGCCCTGAGTCAGAAGTTGGATTTTATATATATAAAAAAGAGAATCTGGGACTACATTTTTTTTAAATAAAATTTTAATATTTGTTCAAAAAACGACTTTGCCGTCAACATTTGGAAAAAAATATTTGAAATTCATATAAAGTCGACAAAATGAGGTACAACTGTAAACACCGCCCCTCTTCTTCGAACCAATGAAATTATTTATTAAGGTGGAGTTTATTGCGAGTAGGAGGAGCATCAGTAATATTGCTTTTTAATGCAATTTTGATGCCTGACATAGGTTAACATCAGCTTAATATTTTCCACACAATTCATCTACTTTTTCAGTAACGGTTTAATAAATTCGCCCAAGAATCGAATAAGGTAAATACGTTGCCATTAATTAATAATATAAAGAGTGGTCACCAGAATCAAGAGTGTGGTGGGTGGGCGGGGCTGTTGCTTCCTTAAAGACTCTATAGAAAAGGTAAACTTAGCTCCGCCCACTTCCTTTCTCCATTTCACTCACTTAATAATTTATTTAATCTAAAATAAAAATTGAATTCTGATTTGACAAACTGCAGAATCGAATATTCAAAACAAAGTAAGAACTAGCCCCACCCACCCACCCCTACTCCGTTCTGATGACTTGTTTTATTGGCCCTGAGTCAGAAGTTGGATTTTATATATATAAAAAAGAGAATCTGGGACTACATTTTTTTTAAATAAAATTTTAATATTTGTTCAAAAAACGACTTTGCCGTCAACATTTGGAAAAAATATTTGAAAATCATATAAAGTCGACAAGATGAGGTACAATTGTAAACACCGCCCCTCTTCTTCGAACCAATGAAATGATTTATTAAGGTGGAGTTTATTGCGAGTAGGAGGAGCATCAGTAATATTGCTTTTTAATGCAATTCTGACGCCTGACATACTTTAACATCAGCTTAATATTTTCCACACAATTCATATACTTTTTCAGTAACGGTTTAATAAATTCGCCCATGAATCTAATAAGAAAATTACGTTGTCATTAATTAATAATTTTAAGAGTGGTCACCAGAGTTAAGAGTGGCGTGGGTGGGCGGGGTTATTGCTTCCTTAAAGGCTGTAGAAAAAGTTACAATTTGGATAAATCTGGGAAACCTGTGATGTCTTATTATTGAAAAAGTTTAAAAGAATCTTTAGGGTCCCAAGTATCTTTTTTTAAGGACACAAAAGAATTTTCAGAATTTTTGGTAAATGTAAACTTTTGTTTATGAAAAACATTGAAAGAATAAGTTATCTCTTTACTTATCAGCTTATCACCTAATCACACAACACAAAATAGTAAAATGCTAATTAACATTTTGCTACACTGCACCACCCTTGGCATTGTTGCAGCTTATCTAGTGCCTACTATTATGTGAAGAGCTGCAGCTAAATTAAATCCCGCAGCCGCATAGCTCTGGATGAGTTTTCAATAGCCAATTAGGGAGCACGATCGATGTTAAAAATGCTTTTATTGTATCAAATGAATGAATGTCCGTTGATTAGCAGGCGAAAAATACCCCAATAACAATAAAACACCCCCCCAAAAACTGCTTAACAGATAGCCTAATTTGAATCTGCTTAGTCCACGCATAATTAACGCTCGGAAGCTAGCTTTTTGAACACCGTGTCGGTTTTAAATGGATTTGCGCATTCAACGGATTATTTGCATCCATTAGAAATTCAAATGGTGCTAAAAGGTCGTCGGAAATTGTTTACGACTGCGAATTTTTCGCAAACACTCACCCAACATCTTCACAACCCTCTTCTGCGCCGCCGAATGCCGCCCCTTCCCCGGCTCGCAGCTGTTGCTGCTCCTCGTCGAGCCCTTCCTCACCACCCCCATGCTCTTCGACTTCCGCAGCTGTATCCCGATGAGCACGTACAGCACGGTGATGAGAGTCATGGGCCCGACGAAGAACACGAACGTGGAGATCTCGAAAGCGTGCTCGAAGAAATTCGACACCACGGTGCACCGGCTGTACTGGATGCCGTTCTTCTGCTCGTAGATGACGCCGAACTGGATGGCCTGGGGGGCGGCGAGGCAGAGTGCGACGATCCAGATAATCACGATGTAGCGGATGGCTCGGGAGAGCTTCGACATGGTGTGGGACAGGAAGGGGTGGCAGATGGCCACGTAGCGCTCCACCGTGAACGCTGAAACGTATATTATATTGTATAGTGTAGCCTGCGGCTCCCCCCACCTTCCATGTAATTAAATAAATACCTGTGATGGTTAAAACCGTGGCGTTCGCGGAAGTCTCAGCAGCGAACCCTTGCAGGATACAAAAAGCCTCGCCGAAGATGTACGTAGTCGGCGACCAAATCCTGTACATTTCGGGGGGCAGCGCGGATATGAGTAGCAGCATGTCGGATATTGCCAGACTAAACAAGTAGTAGTTTGTCGCAGTGTGCATGGACTTATTACACGAAATAACGATGCAAGTGCTCACATTTCCTACCACTCCTATTAGAAAAATAATGGCGTAGACTACTGTGATGGGGATGACGAGGCTCGGGGGGTAGAAAATGTCATCTTCGTCGCTAAGGGTGAGGTTTTCTGAGAGGGTTGTGTTGAAAGCGGTGGCGTTCCAGAGGGCTGTCATTGTGGAGAATTCACATTTTTGTGCGTCTGAAACAGACAAATGACATTGGTTAAGTTCTATTATTTCTAGTGGATTCACTATCAGACTAATTTCCAATTGCGGAATATTTAGTGGGCGTTAAATAAGAGAGCATCAAATTACTTGAATATTGAATTAGATATAAAACAAATGAAAAATAGCCCCACCCACCCGCCCTCATTCCGTTTGGATGACCCTTTTATTGGCTCTGAGACGAAAGTCGGATTTAAATTGACAAATAATAGAATCTATATAGAACAATTTTTTTAAATACAATTTTGAAATGTATTCGAAACACGACCATACCGTCAAGGTTTACATAGAAATATTAAAAATATATAAAGTAGACAGAATGTAGTACAATTTAGCGCCGCCCCTGACTCCAAGTCAATTAAACGATATTTTAAGGTGGAGCTTGAGTGAGTGGGAGGAGCATCAGTAATATTCTTTTTAAATGTAATTCTCACATTTGATATTTTTATTTAATACCACCATAACAATTTCTATACCTTGTTTACGATCTACCAATATTTTTGCCAACGGTATGACATTTTTATCTAAAATTTTAATAACATAATAATGTTCCCAATAATTAACAGTATTGAGGTTAGTCACTAGAATCAAGAGATGGGTGGGTGGGCGGGGCTATTATTTGTTTCTAAGACTGTAGCCCCACCCACCCACCCTCATTCCGTTTTGATGACCCTTTTTATTGGCTCTGAGACGAAAGTCGGCTTTAAATTGACAAATAATTGAATCTATGTAGAACATTTTTTTTTAATACAATTTTGACACTTATTCGAAAGACGACCTTGCCACCAACGTTTACACAGAGATATTAAAAACATATATAAAGTAGACAGCATGCAGTATAATTTAGTGCCGCCCTTGTCTTCACACCAATAAAACGATATTTTAAGGTGGAGCTTGAGTGAGTGGGAGGAGCATCAGTAATATCCTTTTTTAAATGTAAATCTCACATTTGATATTTTTATTTAATACCACCATAACAATTTCTATATATCTTGTTTACGATCTACCAATTCCGTTTTGGTGGCACTTTTTCGGCTCTGAGACGAAAGTCGAATTTAAATTGGCAAATAATAGAATCTCTATAGAACAATTTTTTTTATATACAATTTTGACACTTATTCGAAATACGACCTTGCCACCAACGTTTACATAGGAATATTAAAAAATATAAAAAGTAGACAGATTGTAGTACAATTTAGCGCCGCCCTTGTCTCCGAGTAAATTAAACGATATTTTAAGGTGGAGCTTGAGTGAGTGGGAGGAGCATCAGTAATATCCTTTTTTCAATGTAATTCCCACATTTGATATTTTTATTTAATACCACCATAACAATTTCTATACCTTGATTACGATCTACCAATTGATTTGCCAACAGTATAACATTATTGTCTAAAATTTTAATAAGGCAAAAATGTTTCCATTAATTAACAGTATTAAGGTTAGTCATTAGAATCAAGACATGGGCGGGTGGGCGGGGCTATTTTTTGCTTCTAAGACTGTAGCCCCACCCACTCTCCCTTATTCCGTTTTGATGACCCTTTGTATTGGCTGTGAGACGAAAGTCGGATTTAAATTGACAAATAATAGAATCTCTATAGAACATTTTTTTTAAATACAATTTTGACACTTATTCGAAATACGAACTTGCCACTAACGTTTACATAGAAATATTAAAAAAATATATAAAGTAGACAGAATGAAGTACAATATAGCGCCGCCCTTGTGTCCAAGCCAAATAAATCATATTTTAAGGTGGAGCTTGAGTGAGTGGGAGAAGCATCAGTAATATCCTTTTTTAAATGTAATTCTCACATTTGATATTTTTATTTATTACCACCATAGCAATTTATATACCTTGTTTACGATCTACCATTTTTTTTGCCAACATTATAACATTTTTTTCTAAAGTTTTAATAAGACAATAATGTTTCCATTAAATAATAATATTAAGATTAGTCACTAGAATCAAGGGATGGGCGGGTGGGCGGGGCCATTGTTTGCTTTTAAGATTGTAGCCCCACCCACCCGCCCTCATTCCGTTTTGATGACCCTTTTTATTGGCTCTGAGACGAAAGTCGGATTTAAATTGACAAATAATAGAATCTATATAGAACAATTTTTTTTAATACAATTTTAACAGTTATTCGAAACACGACCTTGCCACTAATGTTTACAAATAAAAATTAAAAAAAAATATAAAGTAGACAGAATGTAGTACATTTTAACGCCGCCCTTGTCTAGAAGCCAATTAAACGATATTCTAAGGCCGAGCTTGAGTGAGTGGGAGGAGCATCAGTAATATCCTTTTTTAAATGTAATTCTCGCATTTAGTATTTTTATTTAATACCAACATAACAATTTCTATACCTTGTTTACGATCTACCAATTTTGTTTCCAACGCTATAAGAATTTTGTCTAAAATTTTAATAAGGCAATAATATTTACATTAATTAACAGTATTAAGGTTACTCACTAGAATCAAGAGATGGGCGGGTGGGCGGGGCTATTGTTTCCTTATAAGACTGTAGCCCCACCCACCCGCCCTCATTCCGTTTTGGTGGCACTTTTTCGGCTCTGAGACGAAAGTCGAATTTAAATTGGCAAATAATAGAATCTCTATAGAACATTTTTTTTTTATATACAATTTTGACACTTATTCGAAATACGACCTTGCCACCAACGTTTACATAGGAATATTAAAAAATATAAAAAGTAGACAGAATGTAGTACAATTTAGCGCCGCCCTTGTCTCCAAGTAAATTAAACGATATTTTAAGGTGGAGCTTGAGTGAGTAGGAGGAGCATCAGTAATATCCTTTTTTAAATGTAATTCCCTCATTTGATATTTTTATTTAATATCACCATAACAATTTCTATACCTTGATTACGATCTACCAATTGATTTGCCAACAGTATAACATTTTTGTCTAAAATTTTAATAAGGCAATAATGTTTCCATTAATTAACAATATTAAGGTTAGTCACTGAAATCAAGAGATGGGCGGGTGGGCGGGGCCATTGTTTGCTTCTAAAACAGTAGCTCCACCCACCCGTCCTTATTCCGTTTTGGTGACCCTTTTTATTGGCTCTGAGACGAAAGTCGGATTTAAATTGACAAATAATAGAATCTATATACAACCATTTTTTTTTAATACAATTTTGACACTTATACGAAACACGACCTTGCCACTAATGTTTACAAATAAAAATTAAAAAAAAATATAAAGTAGACAGAATGTAGTACAATTTAGCGCCGCCCTGGTCTAGAAGCCAATTAAAAGATATTCTAAGGTGGAGCTTGAATGAGTGGGAGGAGCATCAGTAATATCCTTTTTTAAATGTAACTCTCACATTTGATATTTTTATTTAATACCACCATAACAATTTCTATGCCTTGTACTACCAATTTTTTTGCCAACGGTATGACATTTTTGTCTAAAATTTTAATAAGTCAATAATGTTTCCATTAATTAACAGTATTAAGGTTAGTCACTAGAATCAAGAGGTGGGTGAGTGGGCGGTGCTATTGTTTGCTTATGAGAACCTAGCCCCACCCACCCGCCCTTATCCCTTTCTGATGACCCTTTTCATTGGCTCTGAGACGAAAGTTGGATTTAAATTGACAAATACTAAAATCTATGTAGAGCATTTTTTTTAATACAATTTTGACACTTATTCGAATCACGATCTTGCCACCAACGTTTACATAGAAATATTACAAAAAATATAAAATAGACAAAATTTAGTACAATTTAGCGCCGCCCTTGTCTCCAAGCCAATCAAACGATATTTTAATGTGGAGCTTGAGAGAGTGGGAGGAGCATCAGTAATATCCTTTTTAAATGTAATTCTCACATTTGATATATTTATTTAATACCACCATATCAATTTCTATACCTTGTTTACGATCTACCAATTTTTTTGCCAACGGTATAACATTTTTGTCTAAAATTTTAATAAGACAATAATGTTTCTATTAATTAACAGTGTTAAGGTTAGTTACCAGAAGCAAAAGATGGGCGGGTGGGCGGGGCTCTTGTTTGTTCTAAGATTGTAGCCCCACCCACCCGCCCTTATTGCGTTTTCATGACCCTTTTTATCGGCTCTGAGACGAAAGTGTACATAAATTGACAAATAATAAAATCTATATAAAACAATTTTTTTAAATACAATTTAGACACTTATTCGAAACACGACCTTGCCACCAACGTTTACATAAAAATATTAAAAAAATAGAAAGTAGACAGAATTTAGTACAATTTAGCGCCGCCCTTGTCTCCAAGCCAATTAAACCATATTTTAAGGTGGAGCTTGAGTGAGTGGGAGGAGCATCAGTAATATCAGTTTTTTAAATGTAATTCTCACATTTGACAATAATAAATTTTATAAGACATGTTTTTATTACATTAATCCACAACGGATTACATCATTAGGTTAATAATAAAACATACTTTTTTAAACGAAACAGAATTCCTTTAGCCGGAACAATAAATTGAACACTTTTGTTCAGTTAAGGTGACTTATCTTTTAAAAGCTTTTTAGTAAGGTTAGTACCTCAAGGTCGCACTTGTAGCGATAATTATGTCATTAAATAAGTACATAGTGGGCTACAAAACACACTTTGTATAGAGTTCAGATAGTAAATAGACGCCTTCTTTTGGAAATTGTGGCAAGTGTGCAAAAGGACGGTTTGTGTTTAAATTGTGGCCGCAAGTGAGAATGCTGGGACTCTCAGGTAAAACTTTTCGATTAAATTGATTAAATTCTGCAATTTACCTTTAAAGCAGTCAAAGTAACACACGAAATCTATTTTAATTTAGTTCCATCAAGGTGGTGGTTCACTGTCAAACTGTCGTGTTACTTGTAGGAAATTCTAAAGTTTACTAACATGCAAATGGCTGGTTATTTTCAACATTCAAGTGTTTTTACATAATAAGGCGCTCCCCCACCAACAAGGAAGTACTTTAATGCGGCTTGTAAGGGGCGAGATGCTCATTGTGTTAATTATTATCATCACCATTATCACTAAAGAAATAAAAAGGTAAATCACATTAACAACAACGGAACTGATTTTTTGACAATATTTATATGTAAAAAAAATATAACAAGCCAATTTCTGCAGCGAAAAACTTGAGGTAAATCTGCGTCCGTATACGGACGCACGAATCCGCGAGTTTGATATAACACGGCCGGCGTATAATTTAATCGCTCACAGAAGCTGCATTTTTAATCATACTATTAGAACTAATAAAAATGACACCAACACGTAATTATCATAATCATAGTACTAAAACTAATGCTTCTAGTTTCCGTTGATAACCGGTAATCACAGTTTCGCGGAAAACATGAAAATTACCTGAGTATTATTTCAAACGTGTTTGATTTGAAACACTGTCGGTACTCGCTGTTATCGAAAAATAAATGGATGCGATAGTACAACACAACAAACAGTCGTCTGTAAAGTGTCACTCTTATTTAAATGTGTACTTAAAAGTTGACTGAGTTCTTATGAAAGTGGAGAAAAATAGGAAAAAAATTCTCCAAGGGCCGCGGTAATCGACAAGGAATCAATTCTAGTTTATCCAATAGGACAGTTTTCTCATTTAGGACAAAATAAATTGTGTTAGGACTCTGAAGATGCGTTTAACATTATCGATTTGGGGGAGCGTGGATCTGACGTTTTGTTTTGTGTTTGGAGGTAAATGAGGTCATAAATTCGGTCCTGAGATTTATGAAGTGACAACGGGTGAAATCAATGGGGGATTTAAAGACGGTTCGTAAGGGGGAAAATTTTCATTAACAAAGAAAATCCTTATTTCAAGTAGTATTGGATCAACACGATCAGACTGTTCGTGAATTTTTCACTAATAAAAAAATTGGTGGATGCGCCGGGTTACACTCAATCATACATCAATTAGTTTAATAAAAAACCCGAATTTTAAGAAAGTGGTGAGTTAATTCAATTCCCGTTATTTCAACCCCCAAAAATCGCCAATTACGGTCAGAGTGACTGGCGTCCCACTTAACCGGGTTTCTAATTAATGAAATGCATTAAGGACAAACATTAAGGATCGCTTGATCCAGGTCGGATTTTCCTCCATAGATAAAATTTTTCACGACCCGAGAATTAAATTAGTTTCGAATTAATTTAGAAAGAAGTGTAAAAACACTCGACTTTGGTAAAACAAAAGCTTCGCGGCGAGGCCATTCAAGACCACCAGCCCCAATAAAGCGAGTTTAAAATACCCCATTCACTAACTCACCCCCTTTTCCAAACATTCGCACCACCTGACGGTTTTAATAAATATTTTCGTGGAGAAAATTCCCAGTCGCTTATTTCTTTACATAATAAAAGTAAAATGTGTGTCTGAGTTTGTAAAGCGAGTTTGTCGGATGAAGGATTCGCTTGTTAGGAAAATGTAGTTTGCTTTATAATGTAGCTGAGTTAATTTGATTTTTTCTGAGAAGCATTTAGAACGTAAAATATTAAAGAAATGTCGCTCTGTACAGCAAAATAATAATAATAAAAATTCCAGTGGAGTCGGGTCGGTTTCAAACGCTTCTAATAAACGCATCAATAGAGGAAAATTCTGAAAGGGCTGTATTAATTGCAGCGTTGGTGCCTCTTTTTCCCATTAGTCTGAAAATTTCAGCCCTCGATGATGGGTTTCGCGTTGCCACGGCAACAATTTAAACACGTGGCCGATCTGTTGAATATAACATGAAAAATGTATTTGCTTCCATAATGGACAGTGCAATGGTTCTGAAGGACAATAGATTTAATCCTTTTCTGGAAATAAATTGAATTAAGGACGAAAATCCAGCGACTATATGTGTCGCGTTGTGTCGACGTTTCATGTAAGCGGAGTTTGAAGAAAATAAAACAAAGGGAATTTCTATCTGTCGTTCGAGATTAACGCTTTGACGAACTTCAACGGTTCGGTATTTTATTTTCAGTATTTCGAGTGCGTAGATGGAAACTATTTAGAAATCTAGACAATACAGTGTCGAAATAAGCGATCGATTGGCAAAATTACGTGCTCTGCGGACTCTTGGATTACTTTTTCCAAGTTCGGCGCGAGGAAATGAAGAGATTATCCGCAACTGCGAAAAAATGCAATTAAAAAGAAACAAAGTTGGGCTTGATGGGTTCGAGTTTGACGCGTTCGGCCAAAAATGGGGTTTTTAGTTGGGTGGTTTAATTTTTTTTAGTTAGAGATTTGCTAAATGGGTTGGGTCTAGTCACGTCGCCGAACCCCGGTAATGAGAAAGTGCTGGAGAGAGGATTTACGGGTCTGGACACAGAGGAAGGATGATTTTATTTCACGGAGAAATTAGCTTTAAATAAATTCTGATTTAGTGAGGGCGATAGAATAAAAGGTTCGCAGGTCAAAGGGTATTAAAAATCGGAGACTAAATTTAACGAAAATTTTCTATATATACCTTTTTTAAAATTTATCGCTTGCTTATAAAAGATTTTGTAGGAAATATTTAAAGTTAGCCCCGCCCACCCACCCACAAGTAATACAACAAAAAAAATTACGATTAAGGCTTTTTTTATCAGCCCACGTTGTATTAGTTTCCATTCTCACTTTATAAAAGAACATATAATTCGCTCCGCCCACCCACCCCGCTTCCATTTCAGTGATTCATTTTGTATAGTTCGAATGAAAAGTGGATCTCTAATGAACAGAGATAAAATCGTTAGAATGACAACAGCGTGTCTGGGCGGGGCTAGTATGTATATGCTAAGATAAGATTGATTTTGGTAAATGAGATACATTCTAAGTAAATAGAGGGCGGGTGGGTGGGGCTAGTACTTGTTAAAATAAGATTGATCTTGGTAAATGACATAACTTCTAAGACAAAACCGGGTGGGTGGGCGGGGGTAAAACTTGCTAACAATAGGTCCAGTATTTTCGGAGATTATCTAATAAAAATCAGAACGGCAGACAGACAGACAGACAAACACAGAAAGAGACAGACAGACAGACCGACAGACAGACAGACCGAATACTCGATCCATTTAGTGTCTAGAGACGAAAACACAGGAAAATATCATCTATGAGTTAAAAAACAGCCTTTGTTCAAATTTAACCACACATAACTCAAAAAGGGCAAAAGTGTCCGCATTGAGGTTTCAAGCGTTCGATTCTCTGAAGTTGTTTAGTGTGTGGACGAACTTATACAAAGATGCAATTTTTGAGGTAAAAAGAGCATTTTTGAAATCCAACCAAAACATAACCCCCAGAACGGCATAAGAATCCGTATTGCGGATTGAAGATTTGGATTCCTCGAAGTTTTGTAGATCGATAACCAAATTTTCAGATCGAACACACTATCCATTTAGTATCTAGAGACGAAAATACAGGGAAATATCATCTATGAGTTAAAAAATAGCCTTTATCAAATTTAACCAAACATGTTTCAAAAAAGGCACAAAAATTCGTATTGCGGTCCAAAATATTGGATTCCTTGAAGCTTTCTAGCCCTAAAGGCAAAGTTTCATGCGGAATACTCGTTCCATCTAGAATCTAGAGACTTAAATATCGAAAAATGTCATCTGTGAGTTAAAAAACAGCCTATTTTCGCATTTAACCACACATAACTTAAAAAGGGCAAAAGAGTCCGCATTGAGGTTTCAAGCGTTCGATTCTCCGAAGTTGTTTAGTGTGTGGACGAACTTTTGGTCCGGACATTTTAGTCGTTTAGTATCTAGAGGCGAAAATATAATAAGATCCAATTTTTGAGGTACAAATAGCTTTTTTGAAATTCAACCTAAACATAACTCCCAGAACGGCATAGGAATCCGTATTGCGGTTTGAAGATTTGGATTCCTCGAAGTTTTGTAGACCGATAACCAAATTTTCAGATCGAATACGCTATCCATTTAGTATCTAGAGACGAAAATACAGGGAAATATCATCTATGAGTTAAAAAATAGCCTTTGTTTCAAATTTAACTAAACATATTTCAAAAAATTCACAAAAATTCGTATTGCGGTCCAAAATATTGAATTCCTTGAAGCTTTCTAGGCCTAAAGGCAAAGTTTCATGCGGAATACTCGTTCCATCTAGAATCTAGAGACTTAAATATCGAAAAATGTCATCTGTGAGCTCAAAAACAGTCTATTTTCAAATTAAACCACAAATAACTCAAAAAGGGCAAAAGGGTCCGCAATGAGTTTTCGAGCGTTCGATTCTCCGAAGTTGTTTAGTGTATGGACCAACTTTTGGTCCGGATATTTTAGTCGTTTAGTATCTAGAGGCGAAAATATAAGAAGATGCAATTTTTGAGGTATAAACAGCTTTTTTGAACTTCAACCAAAACATAACTCCCAGAACGGCATAAGAATCCGTATTGCGGTTTGAAGATTCGGATTCCTCGAACTTTTGTAGATCGATAACCAAATTTTCAGATCGAATACACTATCCATTTAGTATCTAGAGAAGAAAATACAGGGAAATATCATCTATGAGTTAAAAAATAGCCTTTGTTTCGAATTTAACCAAACATATTTCAAAAAAGGCACAAAAATTCGTATTGCCGTCCAAAATATTGGATTCCCTGAAGCTTTCTAGCCCAAAAGGCAAAGTTTCATGTGGAATACTCGTTCCATCTAGAATCTAGAGACTTAAATATCCAAAAATGTCATCTGTGAGTTAAAAAACAGCCTATTTTCGAATTTAACAACAAATAACTCAAAAAGTGCAAAAGGGTCTGCATTGAGGTTCC